CTGGTATTTAAAGCATTTTCTATGAAGTAATTAGAAACTGTTGTACATTAAAGCCTAGAATCAAGGTGTCTGCGCCTTTCCGTTTCTGAAATCTGGTGGATTAAAGGTCTCAGAGAGCCTGCCTTTAGAGAAGGAGAAGGGGAGAAAGACCAAGGTGAGGGAGATTCCAGAGAGGGTAGGCTTCTTTCATCTGCAAGAGCAGTAGAAGAAATTTGGAACTACCGGGGTGCAGGTTGGGGGGTTAGTGGGAGAAGGCATTGGGGGCAGCTAGGGTAGTGAGGTTGCAGGTGTGGGGAATGGGAGTTGGCTTTGCCCCTTAAGAATTCCCTGACAGCTGGAGAAGCTGGAAAAGGAGGGAGTCTCAGGTTCTGTTTAATTCTTTTACTATTCTTCATCTCCCACTCCACTTCCCACCCCACCCAGGCCAGGTCCTCAGAACAAGCACTGACTCTCGGAAGGACTTGTCATACTACTTACCCCCTCCCAACTCACCCCCTCAACCCCAATGAAGCCCTAGAAATCCAGTGTTCTAGGACCCCTTGGACAGGCTTTGTTTTAGAAAAGACCTTACATCACACTACCTCTGAATACCCAGTAGCCCTGGCTAGGGCAGGTACAGGCCTGGGGTAAAAGAATTGACTATGGGCAAGTTGCTTAACTTCTCTGAGCCTCAGTTTTCTCAGTCTTTTTTAAAAAAGATTTTATTAATTTATTTTTAGAAAGAGGGGAAGGGAAGGAGAAAGAAAGGAAGAGAAACATCAATGTGTGGTTGCCTCTCCCGTGCCCCTCAATGGGGGCCTGATCTGGCCTGCAACCCAGGCATGTGCCCTGACTGGGAATCAAATCAGTGACCCCTCGGTTTGTAGGCTGGCGCTCAATCCATTGAGCCACACCAGCCAGGACAGTTTTCTCAGTCTTTAAAATGAGGATGAAAATGCTTATGTCATAGGATATAGCCAGAATTAAAGTAGATGCAGATCTAAGTGACTGGCTCCTTGTAGGCATCTATAAACAGTAGCTTCTGCTGCTGTTATTATTGGCTGTCACTAATCCTGAGTCACCATTAATTATAAAATACATGATTATTTAATGTATCACTAAGAAAGACAAAAAAGTACTGACAATTGAATTATAATGACCCACCAGTGCTTAAGAGATTCAGCCTGATTTCAGAGATGTTAAAAAATTAAATGCTTCTGGTGCCCTGCCTGGCTATGCTGTTCTTTAACCTGTGTTCTGGTTCCATATGTATATTTGCTGGTGAAAAGTCACTCCACCAATCACCCATGGTCTGTGTACTCTCTGTATGTGTGCTATACTCCAATATGAGGTTTACATTAAAACAGGTGAAACTTGTGCAGCTTGGAGTGGATAAAACTCTGTTTTGGTTCTAGCACTGGACTAGGCAATGTACACACTCGGCACTAAATTAATGCTGAATGAACAGACAAGTGGCTCAGAGTAGGAGAGAGCAATAAGAGGGAGGTCTCCTGAAAAGGTGCTAGTGCTTTTGAAAGGTTCATTTACCAGGTGAGTGGGACTCCAAGTACTGTCACTCGTCTCAGGTTTTGCAGATGAAGAATCTGCCTAAATCCACACAATTTAGTTTATGGAGGAGTTGTGATTTGAACTTATGTCATCAGACTACCAGAATCTAGGCCTTTACCAACTCTCCTATATTGTTTGAGGAAAGCCAAAGGATGCTCCCCCCAAAACCCCCACATCGTCCCTCCAGGTTCAAACAGAAAGAGGTCGTGCTTTGATACATCCAGTAAAGGGATTAATATCTAAAATTTATAAAGAACACATACAACTTGGCACCAATAAACCCAAACAATCCAATTTAAAAATAGGTGGAGGACCTGAATAGACGTGTCTCCAAAGAGTACATACGAATGGCCAATAGACATAAGAAAAGATGTTCAACATCACTAATCATGAGAGAAATGCAAAGTAAAACCACAATATCACCTCATACCTGTCAGAATGGCTATTATCCATAAACCAACAAACAACAGGTGTTAGCTAGGATGTAGAGAAAAGGGAACCCTGGTGCACTGTTTAGTGGGAATGCAGATTGGTGTAGCCACTGTGGAAAGCAGTATGGAGGGTCCTCAAAAAATTAAAAATGGAACTGCCTATTACTCAGCAATTCTACTTCTGGTATATATCCAAAGGAACCCAAAATACTAATTTGAAAGAATATATGCACCCTGATATTCATTTGCAGCATTATTTACAATAGCCAAGCTATGGAAGCAACCCACGTGCCAATTAATAAATGAGTGGATAAAGAAGTGGTGGTACATATATACAATGAAATATTACTCAGCCATAAAAAGATGAAACCTTACCATTTGTGACAGTATGGATGGACTTAGAGGGTATTATGCTAAGTGAAATAAGTCAGTCAGAGAAAGACAAATACTATACGATTTCGGTTATATTTGTAATCTAAAGAACAAAATAAGTGAACAAACAAAATTGAAACAGACTCATAGATACAGAGACCAGACTGATGATTGCCAGAGGGGAAGGGGCTTGAGGAACAGGATGAAAAAGTGAAGGAATTGAAAAGTATAAATAGGTAGTTACAAAATAGTCATGGGGATGTAAAGTACAGCATAGGGAATATGGTCAATAATATTGTAACAACTATGTGTGGTGCCGAGTGTGTACAGGAAATATCAGGGGAGCACTTTGTGAGGTGTATGATTGTCTGACTACTGTGCTGTACACCTGAAACTAATACAAAATAACATTGAATGTAAACTGTAATGAAAACCTATATATTTATATGTGTATAAATAGAATAATTACTTTGGAAATGTATATATAGAAAAAACTGGAAAGGAACAAGGAAACATCATGTTTAGGGAGTTTTTTTCCCTTTTAAAATTCCTTTAACAATATATTAAAATATTAATTTTTTAAAAAAGGTCATGCTTTAAACCACTCTCATGGGTTGGACAGATTTCTTGGACACCTGGGAGTGGGAGGGTCCTGCCTGCTCCAGGACACTGGGGACATGTGAGGACTAGCAATAGACTCTGTTCTAGAAGGAATAACGGAAAGAAGGGGAATCCATGGAGGGAGTTATGTTGCTGACTGTTCCACTCACGGCAAGGAGGGGCTGCCAGTTCTCCAAACAGTTCACAGCTGGACTGACAGACAAGCAGACAGACTAACCATTTGGTTAACTGTATAACTGTTTGGTTGACTACATAACTCATGGACTGACAAGGAGAGGGGCAGTTTCAAGAACTGACAGTGAGTTTTCCTGATGCTGTGTGGTACTGAATACCTAACAATTACAGACTGCCTGGGACTAAGTAGGGCTGGTGGTCTCACAGTGTAGAAGACCAGAAGCCTCCTGAGGGATTGACATGCTGGCTAACTCCTGACCCATGGTTGGCAGGATGCTGTGGATGGATGACTATTGTTAGGAATCACATCTGGCCCAAGGGAGTGTCTGGATGCTACTGCTGCCTTATGATATACAAAGGAGGGTTACCCTGAGGGGATTTCAAGCTAGCTGATGGACAGATCTATGGCTCTCTGACAGGCACCCTGATAGATGGCTGTCTGCCTTGACCAAATCACAGCATGCTTGACAGACCATGTGCTCAGTTGGACGCTGAGGATGGCTACCTGGATGACTGACAATATGAGGGGCAGACAGAATGAGTCACAGGCCAGCTGACCAACTGGAAGTGTATTGTAGCTGCCTGACTCTATAGCTGTACTATGCTGGAATCACAGCTGCCCTGATGGTTTAGAGCATAGGTGGCAAACACAAGGCCTGCAGGTCAAATCTGGCCCTCCACCTTGTATTATCCAGCCCGGCACCTTGTCTCTACCTGGCAGCAGTGCCGAGCTCTCGCTTAACTGTTAAGGAGTAGTTACATTTATACAGTTCTAAAATTACATTCAGTCCTTTGAAGGCAACCTCGAGGCTGATGTGGTCCCCGGTGAAAATGAGTTTGACACCCCTGGTTTAGAGGGTACTGTCTAATGGTGGGTGGTATGCCTCCCTGAGAAGGGACAGACTGCTGGCCACTGACAGGTGGTGCAGAGGCTTAATGCTACTTTTAGTTGCTGTGACTATGCTCTGAGGGAATAAACTATCTGATCATGGTGGGAATGACAGTCGTTGACCAGTGATGGTGGATCGTGTGATTGCCTGACAGGGCTACATGAGACGTGGACAATTCCAGCCAGGCCTGACCTAATTGCAGCCTGCCTGGGGGCATGGGTGGTGGCTGGGGCTTCCTGAGCAGGCATGAGATGACTTCCCTGGGGGGATTCAGAGCAGGTGCCAGGGCAAGGGTAGCAGGAGAAACCACTGCTGGTGTGACTGCTAATGAGGAAAGGATCATCTCAGGCAGTGACAGGCTGACTTGACTAGCAGTGTGGCTGTTAGTAAGCACTGCATGTCCGTCTCTAGGGACTTGCCTCTGGCGGGGAGGGCCATGAATGGTTGCTGCTAGTGACTGATGGTGTGAATCGCGGGTGGGGTCTGACTCTGCAGTTGTGATGACTGACCCTTTGTGCTATTTGAGTCTGGACGGATTTTGAGACTGAGCAGCAGTCTGGTCCTGGTCCACCATAGGAGGGGTGTCATGGCCTGCTTGGGGTTAAAATGTGGTGACGGGATGCCTGACGGTAGTAATTGGGGGTCTGACAGAACGAAGGATTTCCGCCCCCCAATCCCCCTGCCTGGGTCTAGCTGGCTGGCTGACAACGGGATTGGCTATTGGCGTGACAGACAGAACCGCGGACAGGCAAGGCACCCAGCAACCTCGGCAGCCGCTTCCGATGCTACCGCCCAGACGCACGTTGGTGTAGCGCTGGCGAGCACCCGCCTTCGGACCGAGCGGAGTGGCGGGAGGGGTTCGGTCACGGCTCGCCGGTTGGTCCGCGCGGGCGTTGCTCAAGGTGCGGCGCGGCCAATAGACTACGCGTTCTCGGCCACGCCCGCGCGAGCTCTCTTCTCGCGAGGCCAGTTAGGCCCGAATGTCGTTAGCCGTGGGGAAAGATGGCGGAAAATTTAAAAGGTGAAGTAGTGGTAGCAGCAGCGGCGGCTTGCTGGCCGGGCTGCGTGGGCTAGAGGGGTAACGTCGCGGGCTCAGGACCCAGGCGTCCGAAGCCACGGAGCTGGAAGCCGGAAGCCCAGCACCGAAAGGCTGGAGCTCCGGGAGCGCGGGCCTGGCGCGCGAGGCTGGGCGGGGCTGAGAGGAGGGGGCGCGTGCTTCGGAAGGCGGCGGGCGCGGGGCGAAGTGGGGACTCAGGAGGGGGGCGCGCGCCTCTACAAGCGACCCGAAGGCGGGCGCGCGCGCGCACGCGGGGGTGGCTGGTCCCCGAGGCCGCGCCCGCGCGCGGGAAAATCGGTAGCCGGTGACCGTTACCCGCTTGGTGTCCACGCGAGATGCCGGAAGGAGAGGGAAGGGAAGGGGACGGACCTCATTTTCAGAATAGGGTTATAGAGGAATATTGTGGGAAGGGTATCTCCTCTCAACGTGATGAGGGGAGAGTCTGCAGTAGGGAGGACTCCCTTAGGAAGGGGGGCAGGGGCTTCCCGAATGGGAGAGGTGATTTCCCCAAGTGTGCAGGGAAAAGGAGGTGACTTTGTCAGTATGTTGAGGGGTGGGCTTCTCTGGGTAAGGAAAACTGAGGGAAGGATGGGTTCCACAAGTGTGGGGGGACCTCGAAGGGACAGGAGATTCCACCTGTGGTCAGTGTGGCTCCAGCAGCTGGAGATGTGAGTTGGCAGCACTTTAGTGGGGTTTCAAATGCAAGTTCAGGGGTTTGAAAGGAGAGACGTCATAGGGAGAGGAAGGCGTGGGCACAGGCCGAGTCTCCACTAGGCCTGGCTAGGTGGAAGGGGGTTAATGCACATGAAATAATGTTGTAAAGCTCTTGTACATTTTTAGGTTGTCATCTAGTGCATTTCATCATGAGGGTTTGATTTTTTTAATGAGAGTTGGAAAATGTTAATAGGATGAGGACTGACTGACCACATTTGGAATAAATGTTCTGTGAAATGATCTGATAAAACGGCTTCTAAAGCACATTAAGAATGTCTTTAATCTTTGATTTAGAAGGCTTTTTAAAAAATCTGTGTCTTGAAAAATGTTGGTAGCCCCAGATCCGTACGTTCCAGGTATATTTAAGGAATCATTGTCACTGACCTATTACTGTTTTGCCTGTTCCTGAATTCCTCTGGGCAAGCTTTACCCTTCACAGAAATGGGGATGAGGCAGAAAAAGTCAAAATGCAATGTGAAAAAAATATACCTTCTGGGTTAAGGCACCCAGACTAATCATTCAAGGACGATTCCTGTGATCTAATACTACTTCACAATCTCTTTATTCATAATGCTGAAATCTAAAAAGACCTGAAAACTTAAGTTTGGCATTATTCAGTGGTGAAACTAGACTATAAGGAGGGACTATCCTGTGCTGCTATCTCGCATCTTTATTTCTCCTATTTAATGTGAAAATTCAGACTTTTGCTGCAGAACTATTGAAAGCCACTGACCACACTGGGGGTGTTAGATAATGTATGGGATACACCCAGAACTACACTTGTGAAAATACAAAAAATAATAATAATTCCAAAATACTTCCTGCCCTGGGGATTTCAGATTCAGACCAATCTTTCCAGTTTGTTTGGTGCCCTGGAGGTTTTAACACCCCACCTATGCCCTTGCAGCAAAGCACCCTACTGAGGTGGGAGGTTATTCTCTTCCTTTTTGCAGAGTCAAGGAGGATTAGGTCCTGAACACCAGGCTGGTTTTGCAGGCAGTTTTAGGAATGGTACAGAGGGAGTTGGGAGCTCTGGGAATATATTCCTTTAGGACAATCCATACAAGTAGATCTTTCTTTGAGGTCTGCTGCTCCGAGGGGTAGCCTTGGATAGTAAGCATTGGGGTTGAAGGAACTGGCACATTTTTATGGTAGAAAGGTCTTAGCATTGGGAAGGCCTGTGGATTACATTTCACTAAGGCAGTCCTTCAGAAGTCCCAGGAAAGACTTGGGGTGCCTTTTGACCCTAGGCCTCGCTAAGATACCCAGTAATGTTCTTTGTGGACCCCTTGTTCTAGGCTGCAGTGTGTGTTGCAAATCTTCTTGGAATCAACTACAGGACCTGTGCCGCTTGGCCAAGCTCTCATGCCCTGCCCTCGGTATCTCCAAGAGGAATCTCTATGACTTTGAAGTGGAGTACCTGTGTGATTACAAGAAGATACGCGTGAGTCTGGGGTGACCATGATAGGGCAGGGGTGTCTCAAGGAGCTGGCTTCCTTCCCTTTGCCCCCCACTGTCTGCATTTGATTCCAAAGGGAATTTTCTCCTCTGATCTTAAAAAAATAGTGTTAGTAGACCCTCTTCTCATCTCTGTCTTACTAGTAGGGAAACCAAATGGTTTGGTTTTCTGAGGGAGGCAGGAGTTAGGAGGAATACGCAAATAATTCTCTCCTTCCACCTTCCCAAGAATATAAACCAGCTGCAATGATGGAGCTGCTGAGCCCTAGGAGTAGGGTGAGGATAGCTAGTGGTTATTGAGCACTTTCCATGTGCAAGGCATTACCCCTCAGAGACTTATTTAATCACCCCAACAACACTGAAATGGGAACTGTTATCAGGGCCAGAGGAGATAATGGCAGCATAGTTAAGAGAACAGACTGGAGGTAGCATACTTGGGTTCAAATCCTGGTCATGCAACCCCCAAGATATTTATGCAAATTCTCTGTACTTTATTTTTTTCATCCATAAAATGGGGATGCTTAGTAGTATCTATTTCATGTAGAGGTGTGAGAATTAAATTAGTTAATACTTATAAGCTGCTTAGAACAGCACATGCTACATAATCAATGCTAATTTTTTTTTAGCTTTTCCCCTTATTTACAGATGAGGAAATAGAGGCCCAGCAAAATTAAATAACTTGTCCAAGGCCACACAGCTAGGGAGTGACAGGATCAGAATTTGTACCCAGGGTGTCTAACTTAGAATCTGTGTAGTTAAACTGTGTCCTGTAGCCTCCTCTCAGCAAGAAAAGGTCCCTCTAGCTGCAGTGTGGAGAACAGGCTATAGGATCAAGGGTGGAAGCAAGAGGACCAGTGAGGAGGCTACCGCTGCACTCCAGGAGTGCATTGATCGTGGTGGCAGTGCTGACGGTTAGAAGTGGTTGGATTCTGGATGTTGTCTGAAGGGTGGGACTGACAGGATTTGCTGAGGGCAGATGTGAGGAGTTTTAGAGAAAGGAGTCAAGGATGAGTTCAAGAGTCGGGGCCTGGATACCTAGCAGGAGGGAGCTGATGATGGGGAGGACAGAAAAGGGAGTAGGTTTAGGAGATTAAATTAATAGTTGTAATTTAGACAGATAGTATAAGTAGAACAGGATTTAAACCTAGTGAGCCCGGCTTTAGAGCCCATGCTTTTTAACCAATGCATGGAGTCATTCCAGAAAGGCGGGAGGAGTGGTTTGGGTATTATCCATTGGTTTTGGGATGGAAGTCCCACGAGGGCTGGCCCAAGGGTCTCACCACTTATGGTGGCCCCTGTCCCTCTTGTCCCTCCAACAGGAACAGGAGTATTACCTAGTAAAATGGCGTGGATACCCAGAGTCAGAGAGCACCTGGGAGCCACGGCAGAATCTCAAGTGTATACGCATTCTCAAGCAGTTCCACAAGGACTTAGAACAAGAGTTGCTCCGGCGGCACCACCGGTCAAAGCCACCCCGTCATCTGGACCCAAGCTTGGCCAGCTACCTGGTGCAGAAGGCCAAGCAGAGGCGGGCACTCCAACTCTGGGAGCAGGAGCTCAATGCCAAGCGCAACCATCTGGGACGCATCACTGTGGAGAATGAGGTGGATCTGGATGGTCCCCCTCGGGCCTTTGTATACATCAATGAGTACCGTGTTGGTGAGGGCATCACCCTTAACCAAGTGGCTGTGGGCTGCGAGTGCCAGGACTGCCTATGGGCACCCGCTGGAGGCTGCTGCCCTGGGGCATCACTGCACAAGTTTGCCTACAATGACCAGGGCCAGGTGCGGCTGCGAGCTGGGCAGCCCATCTATGAGTGCAACTCCCGTTGCCGCTGTGGCTATGACTGCCCCAACCGTGTGGTACAGAAGGGCATCCGCTATAACCTCTGTATCTTCCGCACGGATGATGGACGAGGCTGGGGTGTCCGCACACTGGAGAAGATCCGCAAGAACAGCTTCGTCATGGAATACGTGGGAGAGGTAGGGAGACAGGACCACGCGTGTGTGCGGCTCTTCCCACTTTGTGTTCCCACTGTGTGCGCTCAGTTCTCATCATGGTGTGCCTGCAACTTCCCTGCTTTTCCTGTGGTAAAGGTGGTGGGGGGTGTTTAACCCAAGTTATAGGAATATCCTGGCAGGGGAGAGTATTCCAAGCTGGGAGTTAAAAGCACATTGAAATACTTCCTGACTGGGTTGATTTCATAAGGGCACCTAGTGAAGAGGAGAGTGGGAACTGAAATCCAGGCAGTGTTCCTTTTTTTTTTTTTCTTTTTAAGTATATGTGCTACCGAAGCGAGCATAGATAGGCAGGCAGTGTTCCTTTTTTTTTTTTTTTTTTAAGTATATGTGCTACCGAAGTGAGCATAGATAGGCAGGCAGTTTTCCTTTTAATGGGTCTTGTGGTCTGCACAGGGTTGTGTCACCTGAAAAGGCACTTCTCTTCTCATTCTATAAGGGTCCAGCTTATTGCTAAACAGCATCTTCCCAGAAAGAGCACCTTTTACTAATCTGCACAAAAGGAACACAGCCTGGAGCAGGACATAGACCTGCCTTGAGGTTGGCTGCTTCCTCTTCTAGACTTGCAGGACACTGGAAAGACCAGCAATCTGCAAGTCTTAGTGTCTTTGCATGTTAGAAGTCTGTTTGCTTCTGTAACAGTCTAGCATGGGTGCTTGGGTAGTATCCTGCTACACAGCAGCCTGGCTACTTAGGCTCTTTCCTTCTTATGCCTTTGCCATGCCTGAGAGCCTTGGGCTGATTTGGATCCTCAGCCATGCCTGATAAGCAGGCCAAGAATGGGGGGAGATGGGAAGATTCCTAATGGGCGAGGCCTGTACACACTGTATATCATTTCTGTCCATATGCACTGGCTGGGACCGAGTCACTGGCCTTACCTCCATGCAGGGGAAGCTGAGAAGTGGGATTAGCCATGTGCACAGGTGGAAAACAAGGGATTTGGGTGAATAACTGTCAAGTGCCTGCAACTTCAAGTGTCACGTTCAAAGGTGGGAGACAGTGGGCATTTGGGGAGGGGCAGTTTTTTGTTATGTATGATCATCTGATGCATTGAGGCACATTTTACATCCCTGGACCATTTAAATTCATGACTACCCTGTCATGATAACAACCCCAAATTCCTCCATATTTCCACAGGTTTCTTAGGGGTTGCTATGGTTGGGAAATGACAGAAATTGGTGTAAAGGACACACTCTGGAGGATGTCTACACTGTAGTAATGACTCTGATTAGTAGGAGAGGCTCCCACTTTAACTAACTATAAAGTAGAGAGGGTCATAGCCCTGGGGGTTTGAGATGATCTGGAGGCATAGCAGTCCATACTGCAGAGGACCCTGACAATCTGGATGAGGAGGTGTCCACACCCTAGATAATCCAGGTGGTCTGCTAGAGAAAATGTCCACATATAAAAGGACCTGACAGTCTGGAAGGAGGAGGAGGTGGCCATAACCCAGAGAGATCCTGACAATGTACAGGAAGAGGTATCCATATCCCAGAGTGACCCAGAGGATGAGAGCGAGCTATCCACACTGCAGAGGACCCTGGTGGTCGGCCTTAGAGAGTGTCCACATCCACACTGTCCTGACAGGAAAAAGAAGTGTCCTCACCCCAGAGGGATTGTGACCGTCTAAAGGAGATCAGGTTTACAACCTAGAGGATGCGTCTACACCCTCAGTATACTGACACTCTGGAGGAAGTGTCTAGACCTCAGATGGATGCTAACGGGGGAGGTGATGTTAACACCTCAGAGGATGTCACTGTTCTGGAGGAGGATGTGTGCACACTCCATAGCACCTGATGGTCTACAGTGTCCTGACTGCACAGGAGCCCAGCAGTACTAGGGGAAGTCCAACACAGGTTGTATCTCTGGCCTCACTCTACTGTCCTGACCATCTCGAGGAAAGGCCGTCTACAACAAAGAAGATCCTGGGGCAAGGAGAAGGAAGACTGCAGCCCTTAGGCACCCGAAAGTCCCCTGGGCCAGGGTACTTTTCTGGCTGCTCCTCCTTAGTGTCCTTACTCATCTACACTGTTAAACATTGGGGTTTTCGGCGACTCTGGTCCTACTCTTCACACATTCTCTCTGAACTATTTCTTAGCCTTCCTCTTGCTACATTCAGCAACTTGCAGGCCCCCCTCCAATACCCTCAAACCTGTGGGACTTCCTGATGGCAACAGAGGCCAAACTAATCTTCTGTCTCTCTGTGAGTAGGCAGAATGGCAAAATGGGCAGGAGGGTGGACCCTGGAGCCTCGCTGCCCAGGGTTGAATCCCAGCTCCACCACTCAGTGGCAGTCATTTCACCTCCTTGTGTCTCAGTTTCGTAATCTGTAGAATGGGGATTATAAGTGCACCCACCTCATACACGTGTTATGAGAACTAAATGAGTCATCATGTGTGAAGCACTCAAACACTGTTCGGTATACAGTAAGTCTTCACTCATTGTAAGCCATTACATTCCAAGATTCAAAAAACCAGAAGGTTTTTGTAATCCATCTGGCTGTAAAACTTAATTGGGCTTGATTTGGGCCTATTTAGTCTTTTTATCCTACTTGGTATGAATATTCATAAATTTCATTGTAGAAATATTAATTTACTTGACTGTGTGGTGCTGTCCCAGACACTACCTACTGTTACATAATTGAGGGCACACAGCCCGTACAATCTGGACAAAGACCTTCACTGTCCTACCTCTACCTCTGCACCGACTGTCCCTTAACAGGAGCTGCCCTTCTCTTGCCTTTTCACCTTTCCACCTTCTGTCAGAACATCTCCACCCTCACCCAACAGAGAATGATAGCCTGTTTTATTAACAGCTCTGAAGTGATGGTGAGTCTCAATTAGTTTAATTAAAAGGGCGTATCATTTAATAAGCAATTTTTTCTTTCTTGGGGAAGGGCACATAAAATAAAGGGAGCATCTTAAATTTTGACAGGATCCAGGACTCATAACCCCTCTGAACACTGCTTGGTTACTAACTAAAACAAACAAACACCTTTCACATCCCTCATCTTGTTGAATCTTTACAACAGCTGTCTGGCTGGGATTATTGTCATTGTCATTCCCATTCTGTAGATGAGAAAACTGAGGCCTAGAGTGGCATAGTAAAGTGTTCAGAGTCATCAAGCTAGTCAAGTGGGTAAAAGGAAAGGCCCAAGTGTCTAAAATTGGTGCCCTGCCAAAACGTAGTGGAGTTTTTTGTTTTCTGGGTTTTTTTGTTTGTTTGTTTTTTTGGCTGAGCAAACAGGCGCAGGGAGAGAATATTCTGGATTCTATATCAGGGAGGGGTCAGAGCAACAACCATACTTTGAGTGTTCTGGTTCCTGTTCACATCAACAAGCTGCCAGGTTATATAGCCCATCCATCTTACCCAGTCATTCTAGAGAGTTGCTAGGGAGCAGAGGACGTGGACTGATTTGTTCCTGAGTTCTCAGGGTGGCCCAACCCTTACAGAGTGCCACTGAAAAGAAGATAGCAGGAACGGTTTGTGCCCTGGAGGGCTTGCAGTGTGACTCATTCCTGGTGAGACTGGAGAGCAGGTAGGGGCAGAATTGGCAGGAAGATGAGACTGGGGTGGTTGTGGGGCATTCCCTCTTGTTGGGGAGGGGCTGAAAAGAAAAAGCCAGCTCAGATAACCATCTAGTGTGCTCCGAGCCCAGCAGAGGCTGCCCTTTAATCCCAGGGTTTCAGAGAGGTTGTGGTGGGAGATTCAGGAAGGCTGCACAGAGAAGTGACATCTGGAGCTGATGCCACAAGAGGAGTGCACGTTTTTCAGAGGGAAACTGGCCTCAGTGTCCTCCTCAGAATGCTTCTGTGCCTCCTGTTGTGTCCTTCAGGTGAGAGCCCCCACTCTTCAACCTGGTGTCAAAGCCCTTCACGATCTGCAGCTTTCTTTAGATGGTGTCTCTCTTTCTCATTGCCCCGCAAACTCTGAGCACTGTGGATGTCTGAGTCCATCTCTGTCACAAGACTGACCCATGAAGGGTAGTACTACTGGGTCTGGTCCCTGTGACTGCCCCCTAAACTGATCCCTGACAGCCAGGACCAAGCTTGGTTCCTGTGTTGTCTTTCCCAGCCAGTTGTGACCCCTGAGAACAGGAACCCAGCCTGGTCCTTGTGTCTTCCCCAGTAGCTACTGACTTCTGAGTGCTAGGACCAGGCACAGGGTAAGCCTTATAAAAATCCACTGAATGAATGAGTGAATAAATAAATAAAAACTTGGGGTATAGAGGAGCCAGGTTCCTGAAGGAAAAGCTGAAGTATGGGGCAGTGAGCAGTGTGATCTGAGGGATAAATCTTGGTCTTCTAAAGGTGTTGCTCAGCGTTTGACAGGGAGCAGAGGCTAGATGATGGTGTAAGAAATAAGGAGGCAACAGGACACTAGTGTGGCCATCTTGACTGAAGAAAACGGTGGTGAAGGCTAGAATGAGAGATATGAAAGTAGAAACAACATGGTCTCTTGTTGGCATGAGGGTGAGCAAGGAAGAAGGCTGGTGTGGATCCAGTGTCAGGAGGGGGCTGGTGATGGGCAGTGGGGGTGTGGGGGAGGAGGGGAGAGTGTTTGAGTTTTCTACAGGACCACTGCTGGACAAAGGATAGGTTGCTGGGCTAGAAAGAATAAAAGGGCATTTCTTAAGTGTCTGCTGTGTGTTGTACACCATGTTGACACTTGTCTTTGAGAGCTGGGAAGAAACCTGCAAGTGGAGAATGAGATAAGCCTGGTCTGGAGGAATCCTGGGCTGAAGTGTGGGCAGTCTTGGGTACTGGGGGACTCTCACCAAGAGACTGGCATGGTCAGGATTACCAGAAGGCTGTGGTTGGCCCCAAGGGGGAGAGGGAACTTGAGAGATGGAGAGGAGAGATTGTGTTGGGCAGGGTTGAAGTGGAGAATCCATCTACAGCATTTGGGAAGCAAGGACAGGTCAGGGCTAGGATGGTAGCCCTGCTACCAGAGGTAGAGCAGCTTCATGTTTACTAGGCCAGCAGGGGACCCAGCCAAGGAGGAAGAGAAGCCTGGGGGCTAAGGAAGGGGTTCCTCTCTATCTAGTTCTTGTCTCTTTTCATCTTCCTTCTGTGTTTTTGGCATCAGCCTCTTGTTTGCATCTGAGAATCTCAGGGATCTGGGTCTTATTTCTGGACCTGATTCTTTCATATTTAGCTTCTATCAGTGTTTCTTACTCTCTGCCTCTAGCTCTCCTGAGTCTCCTATTCAGTCCCCCTTTCTCCACCAGCCCAGAGCTCTTCTCAGTCTCTGTGTCCTTTTCATTACTGTGTAAATGGTTCTGCACTGGTTCTCTTGTGCTAGATCCTGCAATGCCTCAGGCCCTCTTGCCTTGGATCAGTCAGCCTCTCCTCGTCTCCCCTGCTCTACTATCCCCTCTGTATTGAGCCCTGGGTCTTTTTCTTTCTTGCCCTTGATTTGGGTCTATGTCTCACTATGCTCTCTCATGAAGGAGGTATATCTGTGTCTTTCTGTCTGTCTGTCTGACTACTGTCTCATTACTGGACCTTGTGGCCAGCCTCTGTCTACCATTAGAGACTTTCTAGACCATCCAGAGGCCTGAGGAGGGATGGGTGGTAGGCAGCTGAGACCCAGCCCCCTGAGGAGGGCTGACAGACCCTGTGCCTCACTGCCTCCTGTGTGTCCATGCCTGCCAGCCATATGGGTGGGGGTACCTTCCTGTTCACTTGTTCTTCTCCTCCTGGGGGGCCAGGCACTGTGCTTGCTTTTCTGAGCCTTCTTGGCCAATTCCCCCTCCCCCATGACCCTCTCCCCAGATCATTACCTCAGAGGAGGCGGAGCGGCGGGGCCAGATTTACGACCGCCAGGGTGCCACATACCTCTTCGACCTGGACTACGTGGAGGATGTGTACACCGTGGATGCCGCCTATTACGGCAACATCTCCCACTTTGTCAACCACAGTGTGGGTATCCTGCAGGCGGGTGGGGGTCGGGAGGAGCAGGCTGGGCCCCTCCTTACCCCCCTGCTATTCTTTTTCTCCCAGTGCGATCCCAACCTCCAGGTGTACAACGTCTTCATAGACAACCTTGATGAGCGGCTACCCCGCATTGCTTTCTTTGCCACAAGAACCATCTGGGCAGGCGAGGAGCTCACTTTTGATTACAACATGCAAGGTGGGGGTGTCAAGGGACTGGGGGCAGGGGCACACAGTGACATGGGACACAAGGACCTCTCCCCAAGGAGGTTTTTTTATTTTATTTTATTTTTTATTTTTTTAAAGATTTAAAAAAATATTTTAGAGAGGGGAAGGGAGGGAGAAAGAGAGGGAGAGAAACATCAGTGTGTGGTTGCATCTCACGCATCCCCTACCGGGGACCTGGCCTGCAACCCAGTCATGCGCCCTGACTGGGAATTGAATCAGCGACCCTTTGATTCACAGGCCAGCACTCAATCCACTGAGCCACACCAGCTAGGGCCCGAAGGAGCTTTAAGATGCTCTTTCTGACTCCCAGTCTCCCATCTGGACTTAGGGACCCCTGCCTACCTTTTGGGATTCTCCTCATTCCCAACCCTTGGACCAACTTCTCCCAGTACTCCTGGGGGAGGAGGACATTTGGCTCAAGAGTTATAACTATACTTTTTCTGACTCCAATCCTGTCTGAAATATCCGCAGTCCCCCAGCCCTCCTCACTCCTAACCCTTTTTAGCTTTCCTCTTTCCAAGCTGCCGGATACCCTATGGCACAGGTGGCAAACACAAGGCCCGTGGGCTGAATCCAGCCCTCCACCTTGTTTTATCCAGCCTGGCACCTTGTTTCTACCCAGTGGCAGCGCCAAGCTCCTTGCCCCTAGTTAAGGAGTAGCTACATTTATACAACCTGAAATTACATTTGGTCCTTTGAAGGCAACCGCAAGGTTGATGTGGCCCCTGATGAAAATGAGTTTGACACCCCTGCCCTATGGCCTCCAACCAGTCCCCTACTTGACAATCTGGCCACCTCTGAGACACTCAAGAGGGTTTCTTTGGCAGGAGAGTTCAGATACCCCTGTGATGCCTAGGTGAGCCTTCATTCCCAGACCTCTGCCTAACGTAACCCTCCTGGTTCTTGAAGACAACCCCCTGCTCCCCACAACCCCCCGCTCCCCACAACCCCCCAGTCCCTGGCCATCTTCCTAACACTTCAGCACCCTCCGGTGCTAAGCCCTGGCTCTAGTCCCAAACTACCAATTCCATGATCCCCTCCTGACCCACATCCCAGACCTGCTCCCATCCCCCAAGATTCCTGGGTCTCACGGTAAAGGGGCAATGGGACACTTCACCTAGGCCTTCTAACAAGTCCCCTCCCCCCTCCCACCCTCCCTGGCTGTGTGACTCCACAGTGGACCCCGTGGACATGGAGAGCACCCGCATGGACTCCAACTTTGGCCTGGCCGTGCTCCCTGGCTCCCCCAAGAAGCGGGTCCGTATTGAATGCAAGTGTGGGACTGAATCCTGCCGCAAATACCTCTTCTAGCCCTTCAAAGTCTGAGACCAGACTGACTGTGGGGCCTAAAGCCACTCATCCCATCCACCCGCTACCCACTTGCCCTCCAGTTGAGGAATGACTGCCAGGGCTGCCTCCTGTCTGCCTCTACCTGCCCCCACCTGCCCTGTGCGTGGGGTTGTGGTGAGGACCGACTTCCAGAAATCCCCTCTCCCAGTCCCAATTCCATCCATGGGTTGCACTTACAACCCTTTGCCCATCTTGAGAAGTAATTTGTTAAAATCAGGAGTTTCTGAAGTTAGGATTCATGACCTGTCAAGGAGGTCCAAGGGGTAAGCCCCAGCTGCAGAATAAAAAGGAGTTTATGTACCTGTTTCTGCCTGGAGCTTGAGGGGTCTGTTGCAGACCTTCTCTTTACTGCTCCAAGAGTGTGGAAGCTGCCCCAGGGCAGGCTGACATAAGAGCTCAGACTTCCCAGCCCACTTGGTGAAAGAAAGGGGGTTTGCAGGGATAGGGACTAGATTCTGCTTATGCTCACATGTAGGCTGTGTATCCAAGAAGTAGATGCCTACATGCCCCTGGAAGGAGAGTGGATGCCCATGGCCCACTGGCCAATAAGAGCAAGGCAGTCCTGACTCTCCAAGTCCTTAAGGTGGGCTGAGATTGAGCTCTGCCCATGAGGTGCACAGAAGGCGCCTGGGACCCCTGTTGGCGTATGATGACTGCTGGGACTACTCAGAGTTGGAACCAAGACCTAGGTAGGCTGTAGATAGCACTTAGGACAAAAATGTGCATTGATGGGGTGGTGACAAGGTGCCAGCCACTGAGCCAAGCACCTGGCCCACATAGATTGTCTCAGGGAAGCTTTGAAAACTGTGGAGGTGGGTCCTAGGAAAGGGCCCATATGGCAGGCCAAGTACAGTCTCAAAAGTTACCTGCCCACAGATGTACAGAAGATGAAGGCTCTGATGGCTGCCTCACCCCTTCCTTCCCCTGTGAGGTCTTCTCCAGGAAGCCTTCCCTGACTACCTGTGCCCAGAGAGCCCCTCTGTGAGACTGTGCCCTGCCACCAGATCTGTGTGGCTGCCTGTGTGTCCGTGCTCCCTGACCCTAGACTGACTTTCAGGCATGGACTGAATCTACTTTTTCTGTTGTATATTCCTTGGCCCCACCCAGCCTGGGGTGGGCATCAATAAAGTGAGTTGTTGACTGAACAAACCAAGGTGTGGGATTGAAGACCTCATGTAGGTGGGGATTGGGGATATGAGAGGCTGGCAGCTGGGGTGCCCAGGGACATGTTGCTTAAACCTCAGCCATTTGACTAGCACCCCCCCCACAGCACCATCCACTTGCACCATCATCTACCTAACATCTTGACCTAAAAATAAGCTTGCTTTATACTTAAATTTTAAAATGCACTGAAAAAGCAAACTAAATCCATTGATGTCTAAATGTGCAAACCATTATCACTTGCCACAAACAAAAGTGACTCAAGAAATAAATATAGTAGAAATACAAAAATATGATACAATTCTAGCTGGACCCTCCCAGCTCTTAGATGCTTTCAACCCAGAACCTGCCTACTCCACTCAAAGAAAAGTGTGCTTTCATTGTATTTACATTTCCTGTAAATATTTATTGAGCACCTAATATGGACCAGGTTATGAAGTGGAGAACAAGGAGATGATAATTGAAATACCAGTTTTCATCATCCCTCAACCTAAATCTGAGCCTGTCCCTTTTGTTTTTGCCCAGAGACCTCATACTGTAACAGATTCCCAAAGAGCTCAAAGACTTGACACACAGCTAACAGAATCCTAAACAGTTCAGAGACTTCCCCACACAGCACCTAGGACACAGGCCTTCAAACAGCTCATAGACTATATATTCTGGGTATTGACCCCAGACCTCAGGGACCTCACAATTGAAATACACATCTCTATACAACTTTTGAGATCTTGTACCTGGACACAGGCCCTGACTAACTCAGGCTGCACCAAAATGCAAAGAGGTCTGAAGCCTAACTGCTGTTTCCTACACTGGGATCTGGATTCCAAACACATCATGGAACTTTCTGGGATAGAAATAAACATCTCAGACCTCACAACCTGGGATACTGCTACCTAAGTTATTCAGTCTTCACACCCTGATCATCAATTACCAGACTGCTTGGAGCCCTCGTATCCTGAAACATCCTCAAACAGCTGAGATGTCACACCCCAGGTACAGCCCAAACACCTGAGACCTACACCCAGAACACAGATCCCTAAATGATTCGAAAACCTTACACCTTGGACACTTCACACCTCGGCCCCCAGATCACTCAGAGACATCCTGAAAAATAGAACACTAAACATCCCAGAGACCTCACCCCCTAGAATGTGGTGCCACAAACAACTCAAAGCCTCAAGTCTTAGACACAGACCCCAAAGGGCTTAGAGATCTAATGGCCCAGAGACACCCCATTCAGAGCATTCCAACCCTGGGGAACATCTATGTGCAACAGCTCAGAGACCTCACACCTGACTACAGACCCACACAATGCTCAGAGACTTGAGGACCAAGGATACAGACACCAATTCCTCAGAAAACTTAACAAAACTGGGAGAAAAATGGTCAGACAGTTCAGACCCCTTCACCCTGAGCTCATACTATACCCAAGAGCTCCCAAATCCTACACTTGGGAACGTGGGCCCTAAACCAGCTCAGAGACCTCATGTTCTTGACACAGATTCCTGTTTGGAGATGTCACGTACTGGACACAGGCTTCCTAAAAATAGCTCAGAGCCTCCATATACTGAGACAGATCCCCAAACAGCTCAGGCCTTAGTTCATGGAAGAGCTCAAAGACCTGAAAATCTGGACACAAATCCTCAACACAGACTATGTAGTTTAGAGGCTATAACCAATCTACAGATCCCAAATATTTCTGAGATCACAAACTGGACACAGACCCCAAACAGCTTATAAACCTCACATCCTGGGCTCAAGTCCCCAAATAGCTCAGAATCTTCACACTCTAAGCATAGACCTCCAAATGATTAAGAAATATCACCCTGGACTCAGACCTCAGAACCATTCATGGAACTCACCCTTTGTGCTCATATCCATAAAGATTTAAGACACATGACACTCATGGACACAGATCACCAAACAGCCTAGAAACTTCTCATTCTGTGCAAAGTCTGCCACTAACAGCAGAGAGACCTCACAACTGGGACAAAGACCATGACAGCTTAGGGACCTCACATTATCATGGACGCAGGCTCTCAGACAATTCAGAGAACTTCTAACCTGGGGGACAGATACATAAACGGCTCAAAGACAGTACATCTAGCTACATATGTGCACTTGGCTCAAGCACTTCACATTATGGGACAGAAACCCTCAGAAAGTTTATTAACCTCACAATCTGGAAAGCGGACCCATAGGTTTCCCAGAGATCCCACACATTAGACACACAATGCTAAAAAAGATCTGAGTTAACAAAACCTACACCCTAGGACATGGCTCAGAGACCTACTCGCCCCCAAACACCTGAGAGAGATCATAAACTGGTAACAACTCCAAACTACTCAGAGACCTCAAATGCTGAAAACAGACTCCTCAGTAAATCAGGGACCTCATATCCTGGAACACAGACTCCCTCAATAGAACTGCCATGCCCTTGGAAACACACCCCAACAGTTAGGAACCTCACCACCGAGGGATATGTAGATTAGAGATCTCATGTTCTGGGATACACACCTCAGAGGTCTGAAACAATAGAATGACATCAAACTCGGGAAACAGATTCTGAAACTGCTCTGAAAAATCATACCCAAGGACAAAAGCCAGAACATTATAGAAAACTCATTCCCTAGGACATGGGCTCAAAACCATTCACAGGGTGACACCTTGAGCACACTCAAACACATCAGAGTCCTCATCTGAGGGCTGTGGACACTCATGCCTGAAAGGAGAGACTTCTAAGTAGTACAGAGACATCATTTTCTGCATAGAGACCACCATAGCATTGAGAGATTTTACACACCAAACAAAGACCCCCAAACAGCTCAGAAAACTAACTGGGGCATATGTGCACATACACACCCACCTTTTGGAAGCCTGGAACAAATGCCTAAGGAGTCAGATATATCATACCCTGGGACTGAGACCTCCCAAGAGGAACAGACTTCCATACCTGAAAATATACCCCCAAAAGGTCAAGGAACTCTTAAACCAAAAGAGCTCAGGGACCGCGTATTCTAGGACAATCACCCAAACAGCTTAGTGAACTCACCCTTGAAATGTAGACCAGAAAAAGCTCAGAACCCTTGAATCCAGGATTCAGAATTCTTCTGAGACTTAGAGTATAGATCCCAAAATATAATTCAGAGAATTAATTGCTGGATACAGAACATCAAATAATTCAGAGACTTCAAATCGTGGGACATACACACCCAAATGGATCAGGGACCTCACATCCTGGACATAAACCAACAAACAGCAGGGATCTCACACCCTGAGACACACACACACACACACACACACACACACACACAAACAGCTCAGAGAATTCAAATTCTAGGAAATACATGCCCCAAAGAATAGACCTCACATCCTGTGATACACGCACAAAAATATCAGCCACACATACTAAGATATACCCCACAAATATTTCAGAGAAATAGCATCCAGAAACATATCCACAAACAGATCATAGACCTCAATCCTTGTGACATATGCACATAAAAAAATCAGACCCCTCACATGCCAGGAAATACACCCACGAACACATCAGAGCACTCATACCCTGGGAAATAAACTAGGGACCTCACACATTGAGACTTATATCTACAAAGAGACCAGAAACTCAAATCATAAGACATAAACCCAAAACACATCAGAGATCTCACATGCTGGGACAAAGAAAGATAGGTCAAAACCTAGCAACCTGGGACACACAGCCACAGACAGATCAGAGACCACATACTGTTGACAAACATGCAAGAACAGACCTTCACAACCTGAGACATACAAACACAAGGAATCAGACATCTCACATCCTGATGTACACCCACAAACAAATCTGATATCTTGGGACATGGATGCTCAAATTGACCAAAGACTTCACACCCTTGGATGTACAGCCACAGACAGTAGAGCTTGCAAGTTGGAAAGACACATAGAACTAGATGAAAGATCTCTCTCATCCTGGGTCATTAACCTAAAAAGAAGTCAGAGAACTCAGGTCTTAGTACATACACCCACGATCATAACAGAGATCACCTGCAAAACCTCACAGCACACACCATGAGACCCATACCTGCAAAGGGATCAGATACTGCCCACCCTTCAGCATACACCAAAATAGACCAGAGAGATGCACACTGTAGGAAATACACTTCAAAATCCTGGGAAATACATCCACAAAGAGATTAGAATCCTGGCTAGTGTGGCTCAGTGGATTGAGCACCAGCCTGTGAACCAAAAGGTCTCCTGTTTGATTCCCAGTCAGGGCACATGCCTGGGTTGTGGCCCAGGTCCCCAGTTGGGGGCATGTGAGAGGCAACCAGTCCATGTTCTCTCACACATCTATGTTTCTCTCCCTCTCTTTTTCCTTCTCTTCCCATATCTTTGAAAATAAATAAAGTAAAAGTTAAAAAAAAGAGATTAGAGACCTCAAACCCTGGGATATATACCCACAAGCAGATCAGAAACCACATACCCACAGATATATACCCACAAACAGTTGGAGATTTCCCATCCAGGAACAAACAGCAAGAAACAAATCAGAGACCTCACAAGCTTGACAATACACATGAAGAGATCAGAGATATCAATCCTGGGACATATAGTGACAAAATGTTTACAGACCTCACATGCTGGGAAATATGCACAGAAACAGTTCAGAAAACTCACATCCTTGGACACATACCCTCAAACAGATCACAGACATAAAATCCTGCAAAACATACCCACAAACCATCCATAAACATTGCATCCTGGAATATACAATGACAAACAAATCAGAGACTTCTCATCTGGAGACTGCTTACCCACAAAAAGAGTAAAGATAACAGATCCTGAGATACACACCCAGAAACATGTCAGGTAAAATCCTGGGAAGATGGCCATAAACAGATCAGACACTCACTGACAAAATACACACAGAGTGGAGAGAGACACATTCTGGAACACACATTCACAAACAGCTCAGAAAAATC